ATCCCCACCTACTTGGCTTATATTTACTATTTGATCGAATATGGTTTGTTATGCAAATATTTGACAAAACCTTACGCTGTATACACTAAACTCGGATAAAACTATTATTGCAGTGTAAACCGATTTTTTTCAAACATTGTTGAGAAACGGTTTTATGTGGCCCCAACCCTAACCAGGCGAGGTGATGTTGGAAAGTTAAGGTGTCAGGGACATCGAACTGAATACTAAAATAGTGTAATCAGACCATGATTCTGAGTCAAAAATCATTGAACTTTTCTGCAGGAAAATTCAGCATATTTTTTTTTATTTTCCATTTTTTTTGGTTGATGACAAATGATATTACAATGAGTAGACAGAACATTTTACGGAATAGAGTTTAATAAATACCAAAAAAACTGCAATTTAATTAATCAAACAGCCGAAGCGCGCGGGGCCTCCCGTCCAGCCGCCATTCTGTGTCAGTGTGCGTAAACTGTTTGCACGGAATACACATGTAGTTATTACTTTAGTGCGATACCTACGGGGGATAATAACCTTAACCTTTGACAGCTAATTGCATAAAGAAGTTTAATTTTCCGGCAGAAAATTCCAATGATTTTCGACTCGGAATGATGGTCTGAATACACTATTTATGTATTCGTTACGACGTCCCTTACACCGTGTATATATACTAATAAGTACGAGAACTTTTATTGCACGATACAGAATTAGTAGTCACTCCGCATTTCGGTGTCTTTGCTAACTGGTACTGAAGTATGTTTCGTTGTATGCGGAAGTTGCCATAACAAAGCGTGATTATGTATAGCACTGTGAATTGGTTATAAGTTTTAATCGCGAACTGCAAGTTGTAACCTTAAATGTCTGATGATAAGAATTATACAATTGTTAAGTTTATAATACCTCATCATATACACGTGAATAAGGCGGCTTTGTGACAATACATACCTTGCAGAATTGCCTAAATAATTTCGAAACAATAATTTGCAAAGGTATAAGTAAAGAACCACCAGGTCGTTTGCCGTGTGAACAGAATTATATGTATATAGTTATTTTTTATTCATAAGTTAAACATTTCAAACATTTTATAAACAACAAATACAGAGTGACTCTTTTCCATTTTTTAGACCATTTTTCTTCAGATATGTATATAATAGAACATTCGCACCCTGACCAATCAGGTTCCAAGATTTCGAACGAAACGAACCCGATTGTTCAGAGCGCGAGACTTAATCGATACGTCACTATTTTCTTAACGCGAATGGACTGTAATAATTTCGCATGAGATATTTACCTGAACTCAATAATCGATCCAAAAAGTTGAACATGGGCCCCATGATCCTTTTAACGTGTAAATTGTCAGCAAACACTTTTATGATAGTATCACAAATGCTATTCAGCATTTCTTTATCACTGTGCAGAGTATTTAGATAATCATAGAGAGATTGCGTAGTGTGTTTCACCTGTTAAAAAAGACATCTTTTTTATTTTACATTGTAAAAATGGGAATATATCAATCAATGTATATAACGCAGTATAATTATATTAATATCATAATCATATATATATATATATATATATATATATATATATATATAGATATGATATAAAAGCAGAAGCGGTGGACTTTTCTTCAAATATTTCTGACATTCTAACACACTATACTTTTTTTTTATATACTTTTTTTTCTAAATTCATATATATTATACATAAAAAACTTCGAAACACATATTTGCAGATCACACAAACATTTGGTCCCACCTGGGAATCGAACCCCAAGACCTCAACACAGCAATCACATACGCTACCACTGCACCACCGAGGCACTCAAGTCCTTTAATGGTTCACATAACCCTTATTCATGTTATAAGTAATACATACTTATTATTATTGTACATAGAAAACACCCAAACTCCGAAACAAATATTTGCAGATCATACAAAGGATATGACCCGTGAATCCAACCCGAGACCTGAACACAGCAGTCGCATACGCTATCACTGCGCCACCGAGGCAATCAAAGCTACATTAACAGCGAGTAACATGGCTACTTTTTATGCTACTACTATGCGCGATAACCGATATACACGCGGGCGAAGCCGCGGGCAAATACTAGCGAGTATTAAATAAAATATACTTTTGGTTAAATAAGCGACTTGTTGACTTACCAAACTTTCCGTCAACTCGCCGCCGCTGACAACTAACCCCTTTATGAGGTTGTACCTATAGTCTGAGTAGTTGAGCAGTTGCACAAATCTGGGCATGGTGTGTCCCGGGAACAGCCACAGTACTACGTTGGAATTTTCACTTGTCAATGTCTGTTCGTTGTCATCGTCCATTTGGTGCGGTTGCTTCAGTTCCACTTCTTCGGATGGAAAGATTCTCTTCAGAGCGTCATGGTGAGGAATGTTTGTTATTGGTGGATCGCTGTAAACATCATAAATTAAAAATGACTGCATATTCAATGAGATTTATAATCGTTTAACGTTTTAAGAGTAAAAGCTGTGTGTACCTAATACTTATAAAAATTAAAGTACCTAAGTAGTTATTAAGCGCCGATTTAACATTAAATGTAATGCTTACAAAGCATAACTAGGACTTATGAGCAAACGATCATTCGAGATTGTTTGAAATGTTAGTGGTATAAAAAATAAGTATGCTTTGGAAGATCCAGCAAAGACAAAATAGTCTTTTGATATAGAAATTCAAGAGGTAGTTACTAAGTAAAAATATAAATTTAACTCGTTATGACACTTATGCGATAATAAAGACAAATCTAACGACATTTATTTCATCAAAATCAGCTAAGCCTTTTAGCACTTAGAGGGAACATGCCGACGGACTACATAAATTCTCCAATTAGGTAAAAATTATACCACTTACCACATTACCTTAGATGATCTAACGAAGAAGAATCGTTTATAAATAATGTGTGTAGTAGATAAGTACTCACTTATAAATAAACGAAGTGAATATTCTGCCAGCATGAGCTCGGGTTCGGTCGATTTTCTCGACAGCCTGCTGCGCGACTCCACACATTATATCCTTTATTATTTGAGGAGAATTTAAATGTGGAGCTTCCACTGCACATTGTCTACAAATAGACAACAATCCTGGAGAACAAATATTAAAAATATTAGCATGTGGAGGAATGCTACACACATACTTTCATGCCAATTAAACTATCACATTTTAGTTAGAGAACACAGAGACACGTAAGCGAGAGATTGGATAATAGATTTAGTAGTAAAAGTAATCATTATTTCATTTGCTGCTAAATTTTCAACTTGGAAAGATTTTTAAATCCCTGTTCATTTTTTTTTTTAATTATTCATAATAATTCATTGTCTTCTTTAGTAATTAAATTAAAATTTGAGATGAACATACAAAGTCACAGCAAAAATAGGTTGTTTTCTTTTCTAAACTAAACCTAATCATATTTTCTATGATAATATATTTTAAATTTAATGAATACAATAAATAAAATAAAAACAAAAACTGGTTAACAGATAATATGGTCTGCCCGTGTCAACAGTGTATAACCGCCCGTTTAAAAATGGTTTTGCCTTGGGAGAAGAAATTAAGCAAACAAACACACCGCTACTATTGTATTTCACAATTAGCAAATAGTATTAAAAAAGATCTTAATTTAAAATTCGATTGTTTTTCTATGTACATGTTTACGTAATTGTATTATTAAACGAGCTGTGCTCGGCGCGGTCTTACTAGTGTTAGTTAATAGTTTTAGGCGATGAACAATCATTTTTTTTTAATAATAACAGCCTAAGCTGGTTCTTGCAATATATTCTGCGATCTATGTAACTTTACAGTTTTAGAGCTCTCACACAAAATGTGAAAACTACGACGCGATTTGCATCGATGCGAATTCATGCGGCAGGCGTCTCCCTTCCAGGGTTTTTCCTAAAATCACTAACCTGTCATACTAGCTTCCCTCACCCAAGCACCGACATCCCCCCTCATATCAATGGTGTACTCCAACAAGCAGTCCAAGAGCGCAGATACAATTTCGCCGATGTACTTGTCGATTGAGCCGACGATGCCCTGAGTTTGACAAACTTCGGTCAAACCGATAACCGCGTCACGACGCGCCTCGGCCCACTTCTGAGTCGAGTCCGTCACTCTAGTGCATTGGATAAGGGCTTTAACTACTACTGGCAGATGCTCGGTGAGGACGAACTTTGGTAACGAACCTGTAAAAGGAAATCAATATAAATAAAATGATGAAGTCGGATACAGAACAGTATCTGCATGACCTGAATGGATGGATTTGTTTTTTTTTGGTAAATTTTCTAAAAATGAAACCTAGCTAGATCAATTAATCGCCCCAGAAACCCCCTGCATACCAAATTTCATAAAAATGGTTTTGACCTTTTCCGAGTTTCAGATTATTAGTTATATATATAAGAATTGCTTGTATAAAGGTATTAGATGAAGTGAATTTCCGGGATCTTGGTGTGGTCCTCAACCAACAAAATAACTTACAGGTCTACTGTATAAATACAGAGTCAAAGTCAACAGTCCTTCTAGAGAATTTCGATATCGTGTCGCTGCGAGTAATAAAATCAAGTTCAGACGTATCGCAGTAGACTAAACCCCAACCTAGTTTGGGAAAAAAGGTTCAGAGAAACTGACTGACTTATCTGAACCCCCAGCTTTATGCAACAACAAAGAAACTCCTACGGAACAGACTTTATGTTTCTTTGCCACTTAACTTCAAAAAGAGTGAAGTCAACTTACCCACAGCTCTCGCATAGCCCATTCTCAATACTAGACCATTGACCCCACTGCATGACAGCTGATCACAGTACTTCTCCAACAACTGCTTCCGTTTCTCCTTGACGCTCATCTCGCCGTACTTGAGCCCGTCATCGCAGAGATATTCGTCGAAAACAAGTGGTAATGCGTAAATGGCCTTCTCCCTGATAATTTGTACTTCATGAGATAAACATTCCTCGATCAAGTTAAGCCAATCATCTGAAATAAAGGTTTAAGTCTCTCAACACCATAACTATAGTATACATACCCTATGGCCTTATTTTAAATAATGGTGTACTTTCTAGAGATTTTGATATTGATATACGAGTATTATCATTATTTAAATATATTTATACTTTTTTGACTTATAAAAGTAAAATTAAGCATCTTCGTTACATTTTTACGCCAATTTATTAATAAATCATCATGAAACATAAACATTGTCTGCATTCAAAAAGTCATAGAGTAGAATCGGACACAGTACTTTTGTAAAGTATGTAAAATTTGGAAGAAATAGCTTTTTACTGTTACTGTGACAATAAGGTAATACGTTGAAAAGTGATAATCGACCACATCAACTTATAAATGACCAATAAATATGTTGATCTGTTATGGCCCGAAAAACTATACCATATGAGTTTAGCTATAATAGCTATAAAACAAAACATTGAACACCTTTTTACCTATAATCTCATGTCCATGGTAGGGAGCCCCGGCCAGGGCCAGGGACGCGATGCAGTGGCAGCAGGCCTGGCGCATGAGCTCGCCGCCCAGCCCGCGGAACTGCTGGCGGACGCGTAGCGACGGGACCAGGTTGCGGACGCTTACGGAGATTTCCTCGGTAATCAATGAGTCAGCCATTTTACCTACAAGCGATTATACAATTTTAAAATTATCTATCGATGTGATAGACTTTCACCACGTCACCACACGGATATCCGTGTGGTGACGAATTAAGAATACGGATTGTCACCATCCCTATTCATCCCGTGGGTGTCGTAAAAGCCGACTAAGGGAGTAAACTACACAGGACATCAACGCTGCAAAGAGAAGGAAAACTTGACACAAACCCTATACCAACCCGTCGGGCTAGCGTGGTATAGTAGGCCAAAACCTCCGTTCTAAGGAGAGGCCAATGTCCAGTAGTGGACTATTAAAGGCTGTTGATGTGATAGAATTCTACGAAGCTTACGTATGGAATGGTAATTTACTATAATATTTAAGATCAAAACAATATGTAGCGATATGTAGGTTTTATTAATATTGAGATTCATCAAACTAATTTATATTTATGTTACACGTCTTTTTTATGTAATAGGTGGCAAACGAGAGGACGTGTGTGTGTGGCCAATTCTCGTAATAAAAGTTCTTTTATAATTCAGTTCCGATCAACTCTCGTAAAAGGTATTTGAACAACTGTTGACATTGATATATAATATCGTCACAATACACGTCATGCAACTTAGGTAGTACATAAAAATTCATACCATTGGGTAACTTAGCTTTAGACAAAGCGTAAATAGCTTCTCCAATAGCTAGTATTGCTCCATGACGTACATTCAGATCTATGGATTCAGTTTTGTTGACGAGCTTCGGTAGTACAACAGTTGCGACGTAATCAGGAATCTGTAATTTTATAACACATTGCAATAAACAATCATCAAAGTCCATGACACATAATTTAATTTATATTTCTTACTTCAGACATCCCTGCAAGTCAAATAATGGGGCCAGAGACGATTTTAATTTAAAACCTTGTTTGAAAATGCGGAAAAAAATATATAAAAATAAAATAAAACTACAAGTAACCTACTTAACCTAAGGCAGAAATATAAATGAGAGATTATGTCAAATCTGTCAAATTGATCGTTCTTAATTTAAAAACATTTTGATTTTACAAATGGACAGTATTTATTACTAAAAAGTTAACAAACCTTTTCGGTCAATTTATACAGCGCTTTAGCGGCTATCTCACGAATGGCATAATCCCAGTGTTCGACTTTTAAATCAACGAGGTGGTCGATGAGTGGCTGCGTGTACTCGGGGTAGCTGGCCACTTGCGGGGCGATCACCAGGTAGGCGTTGTTCCTCGGCCCGACCGAATGGAAGTCCGCAGTGGTGAGCACGTCGATCCCGTGCGGGAACATGCCGTGTCTACCTACGTTTTCCTGGTAAGCGGCTGATGCTGCTCGTCTACAATTTATCTACAATAAACCAAATGACATTGTTCAGTTCACTCTAACTTATGATGACAATAGGTACACAGAACAGTAGAGACTAGTACTAGTAGGTGCGTTGCCGCCCTTGTCCCCTCCGATCGAGTCAGCGGGAGGGATTTGGGCTCCGGTAATCTCACTCACTCAGTGAAAGGCAACGAAAGAATTGCTTAATACTGGTTTTCTGTGAGGCCGTGGTATCATTCCGGTCGAGCCGGCCCATTCGTACATAAGCATTGCTCTCCCACGGCTAAACAATTTTGCAATTAAAGAGGGCGAAATAAATTTTAACGCAAGTTGTATTTGAGAAGAAATAAAATTGTAGTAATTAACATTATTTATAACTTTTAACAGTAATTTTATAATTTTTAACTTGTTAAGTTAAAAATTATAAAATGTTCTCAACCACGATATATCTAGATTACGATTTAAGGTGAAATAAAAATGTTGCTTTTTACGAATTGAAAGGAATAATTTACTTAAGTTTTAACGTAAAATACAATATTATTTGCTAGATTAGGGATAAATAATTATCTTATATATATGGTTATAAATGTCTATATCATAATCCTCTTGATATCGCGATTTACTTTGAGAGGGAAAATATTTTCTTTAAATTTGAATGAGATCAAACGGAAACGTACAGTTAACCTTTCAAATCAAATCGGTCTCGATGATTTGAAATCAATATATGATGGCATTTTGAAGGAACATTAAAAAAAATCGAATGAGAGCCTCTAACTTTTTTGAAGTCGATAAAAAATAATACGCGGTATATAGGGTCAGGTTTACATTTTTTGTTATTGAGAATGTAAATTTGAATTTTAGGAATAGTATTATCAACACCACAAAAAGGATTTGAAAAGAAAACAGTGCGTACTTCTCTGTCGAAGCAGGCGGTGGAGATGAGCGCGTTGGCGAGCGCGGTGGCGTGCGGCGCGAGCGCGGCGGCGTCGTAGGCGCGCGCGAAGGCCCAGGCCGCGTGGCACGCCGCGTCCCGCGCCGCGCGCCCGCCCCCGCCGCCCGCCGCGCTGCGCGCCTCGTCGCGCCGCAGCGCCGCGCCCACGCGCGCCACGCCGGCGCCCACCTGCGGCGGAGACAGCAGCCCGCGCCGCGCTACGGGACCGCACCGTCATTGAACTGGCCTCACAGGGCGCCTTACGACTCGCCGCGGTTACACGTGTTCATAACATTTCATTAATTACATCAAAATAATTTTAATAAAAAAAAACTTAATTTTTTACTGTTTTAACACGTTTAACACGCGAATTTTAATAATACTGTTATAACCTAACCATAGGATTGACTAGTTCTTGTGATGTGTCCAGAAAACAGCGCCATCTAGTATCAAGTGGGGCACAAGTAGTCATACTCCACGTAAGTTATTGACACCCATTCGCATTGGAATATGGAACTGTGTTGGCCTAACGCTAGTGATATATTCATATTTAGGCCTCGTAAGAAAACGCTGGCTCTAGTTTCTGACCTAGTCTTAGAACCGTCCGTGTAAATTCGAACTTCGTTAATGCCGAATTGATCTCGGTCATTTTCTTGTATCTGAATCTGAAATCTTTGTGTTTTGGGATCTTATCGCATGAAGCTGCTATTAGTGGTTCATATTCCACTAATGGATACCATAGTTTGGAACGCGATCCGTTACCTTTATTGTAAAACTAGTTGCGTTCCAAATGGCTTGGGAAGTCTGAGATTTCCTAAACTATAATATATGTGAATATAATCATCTCTGTTTTCGATGGGTTCACTGTCAGGTTGTGTGCTACGCACCATTGTTCCACGATCTTCAGTGCAAGTCTCATTTGATCGCATGTAACGCTCTCAAAGAGACCACTGGGAATGATAGTCAGATCGTCTGCATAGCCTATTTTGAGGAATTTACGGTCATTGAGTTGTGTGATGAGTTCATTCACAACGACTATATGTGGTAAAAAAAAAAAAAAAATATAATATATAAATAATATGTCACGTAGATATAGGTAAAACCATAACCAATGAGTGCTACCTAATTCAGCCAGTGCCATACAGCCGCCGTGCCAGGCGGTCTCCTTTTCGTGGTCCGCGAAGAGCACGAGCACGCTCTCGCACACGTCGGCGGCGGCGCCGGGCGGGAGCCTCGCGCCGATGCGGCCCACGCCCTTGGCCGCCGACCACCGCACCACGGTGTCGTCATCGCGGAGGGAGCACAGCAACAGCTCTACTACGTCTTCCACCTTTAAAAAACACCATAGACAACAGTCATCATTTCTTAATTTTCAGTCAAGTTTATTTAAAAATAGAGTTTAAATCGAAAGAGGTATTATATACCGTCTTTTTACGTCGTTTAAGTTGTTTCATATAAGATTGTACGGAATCTATCGTATTAAAGTATACCATAAAGATAATCTAATATCTAAAGATAGAGTTTGAATATAATGACTTAAATCACGCTATAAACGACCATTGCTTATCTGCCTCCTTTATGGTTCAAGTGGCCGAAGTCTGGAATAAACTACCTTCTTGATTTTTGCAGATAAATATAGTCCTTGAATGTTCAAGACCAGAGTGACTAAGTTTCTTTTAAATAGGAATGTGCCATCTACTATCATTTTCTTCGGTTTATATCTTTCCATCGAGACAAACTTATTCTAAAAAAAATATTTTTTTTCCAATGATAATGGTATTAGCACGTACTTCTTGCGGTATATCTTGATCATCGTCATCAGGAAGGGAGTTTATAGGTTCAGTATCTCCAGAGGCTGCGACTCCACCCAACGTAACGGCCAAAGAGCGCGAACCACGAGTGTATCTCCACGACGCAACGCGTGGCCGCAGGAATGTTAGACCTGGGACATTAATACACAAATTGTAATGATAGTGATACACCTACTATGTAGGAAACGAAGATAAAATTAGAATTAGGTAATTTATGGTCTGGTCTCGAGGCGAAAACATGTGAATTGGATCAAAAGGTATTTTCTTGATCTGAGAAGAGCAGCAGGAGTGGCTAGGAGTTTAGTTCTTTAATACTGGATAACCGGTGTTGATCAACAAAAGTAATAATAATTAAAATATAAATATTTAAACCTTTGCCAATAACGAAACCATGACACTGCTTAGACGTAGATACGTACCATTTAGAAGTTAATTACATTGCCTGCTGTGCATTAAAGCATCAAAGTAATTCTTGATGTCACATTAGTTTATTAACTCTTCAAAAAACTTTTTTATAATTCTCGTTTTTTTTTTTTTGTTTTTATTTATACCATACTATACATTATTATCACAGCTAGACCAATACAATAATGTAAAAATACAAAATCTTTGTTTCTATTGTAAATATATATTTCATAGATTTGTTTGTTTTAATTTACCATAAAGAATAACTATGATAAAATACGTAAAAACATAAAATTAAAAACTAGAGCTAGTCAGTAACTCATTAAGCGAACACGAAAAAATGACACCGCATCGACAGCACACAGCGCGCGCGTAAACGTTATTAATTGGATGAAGGTAGTATTTTTTTTGTCTATGTTTTTTTTAGAATGTATTGACAATGTGTCTCAGAAATAAATAAACATGGCTTACCTATTCTCTGTACAATTTTAACACCATATTTTCTAACAAGCATAGCCTTATGATACTGGTAGTTTTGGTTGGTGACCCACTCCAGTAATTTAGATGCAAAAGGCAATAAGTCATCTCTCTTGCCATGTTTGAGAACAGCAGCGACAGCAGCTAATACTCCATAGTGGATTGTATCTTCTTCTTGAATATTGGAATGTAGCTCACATGCCCAGTCAAAAAATGCACCCATGTACAGTTCTTTAACATCTGACCTGTAATATACGTAATACAAGATACAGAGGGTGTGAGTTTATTCCACATCAACTCGCTTTCGTCGACGAGCGCGTTAGACTTTGCGATTGGTGAAGATTGCAGTGCGGGTCAATCGCAACGCCGAATGCGGTCACCGTCAGTACCGACTTTACCCTTAGGGCACACGGGGCCCGTGCCCAGGGCCACGGGTATCACTGTCTAACTACATAGGGTAGTAAAAAAAATCAAAAATTTAAACACTATACATCTAACGTAAATGATGACAATTTATTTATACAATTAACACAAACAAGCTTGTTCATAGAATAAAATCGATTTTGTCAATAACGTATGCAATAATCGCTAAAGAAAAAATCCAGAGAATTCGCAGCACATCATCATCAGCCTATCCCAGTCCAAGCCTCTCGAATTGCACGCCACTTTGATCGATTTTCAGCTTCTCGCATCCAGCTCCTGCCAGCCATCTTGAGCAAATCGTCACTCCACCTGGCTTGTGGGCGTCCTACACTACGTTTGCCGAGACGCGGTCTCCACTCAAGAACTCGTTTTCCCTAACGATTGTCGGTTCTGCGGCTAATATGGCCATATTCTTAATCCGTCACCACACGGACGATGTAAATAATAAATTAATATTAAATATATAAAATACACCTAGACGCAGATCCAACGATTGTACTCATCACAAAATTATTAGTTCTGGGTGAAATTAAACCTATAACTTATTCTGAGGTCAGAATCTCTAACCACAGACCTATAAGCCAGAAAATGTGTAAAAGGCATTACAAAATAAAAGTACCTTATAAGAAACTTCGAAGCCAAGTAGGCACTGGCCTCTGCACACGAGTCCTTGCAAAGGGCATAGGTTTTGCATATATTAAATACTCTTTCTATTACTGTTAGTTTCTTTGATCCACTGGCAGCATCTTAAAAGGGTAACATAATATTATCTTATGACACCCTCAACTTCCTTTAAGTTCATAATGAGGGTAGATTAATGGAATTAAATGAAAAGTAAGGCATGAGTCCATTTAAAGCATTCCATGAACCTATAACTGTCTATGAACTATTCTGCTTGGTATGAAGCACTCTGTAACTATGTACTCCACAACCACAACACATAATAAATTTTATTTAGTCTTTAATATACATTAAAATACAAATTAGACAAGTTGACAAGAAAATTAATCATAGGCAAATTTCTTGGTTGGTGATATAGGATTCATAACAGTGAGAAGTAAGATGAAAATTGGAAAATAAAAATAAGGGTTATTAAACAATTTTCCATCATTTTGGTATGAAATTGATAGAAAAGAATTGGGAAGCTCACATGATAAAATAACATATGTATGATTAACAGTATTCTAAAGCAGAATAATAATAATATTTTATAAACATCTGACACACAACGCCATCTAGTTTCAAACTAAGCAGAGCTTGTACTATGAAAGCTAGATTGACTGATAGAATACTTATATACAAAGAAATATTACCATAGTTAAGTTGGTATATGTTTATATAACTATATTTAAAGAGATATTTTAGCGGCAGAAAGATCATAACAAAAAACAATTAAAGTTAATGGTTGGTGGGTAAATAAAAATGTTAAAATTGTTTCTGATGATATTTATCTATTAAATAATAAACTAAATTTATTTATTATTAATATACTTTAAAATAGTCAATTGTAAAATAGAGATTACATTGAATAATTTATAAGTAAATTGTCATCAAATAAAATAATATTTTCTGTTAAGACATTCTTCTTTACCTGGTTGTCCTGGTGCAAAGCCATCTAGCCTGCTCATGGGGAATGGAATAATTACTACAATAGAGAGCCATAGCAACAACACAAATCTGCTTCTCCAAGTTTCTTTGTCATTTGGATCTTGAGTCTCCAGGAATGTCAAGACTGTTATGAGATCTGAAACCTGAGAAAGTTTGGTCAATATTTAGGAGTTGAACATGGTAAAAATAATTTTAAATAGTCCTTTTTTTACCACATTCAGCATTATTAATTTATAAGTAAAATGCTGTTACTGTGACAATTGAGTAGAAGTGAAAACTTGCACTAGGGCCTCAGGTAAGCTTACAATTACGTAATGAATTAGTAACTACCATTTGTTTCACTTCTGTGTGCAATTAGGCTCACACAACATATACTCAAAACCATGACTTACTTACATAATATATTTTTATATATTTAAATTGACTGATGTTTTAACCATGTTGCACTGGCAGTGTTCAGATCATAATCTCTGAACATGAACACAACTCTGACTATTCAGTGCAACTTATTGTCAACCCATATGAGGTTGTGTGTTATGAATGAACAATCAATATTTTGACATATACAACCAATCATATGGCATGGAATACCAATCATATGGCATGGAATACTAATCATAATAATTATTAGAATTAATTAGTTTGGAAAAGACAACTCCCGCTTTAAGAATATATCCTGTGTCGTAGGGTACTTTACAAACATACATGAAATGGACACAAAGAACACCCAGACTCAGAACAACAATTTGTGGATCACACAAAGTGTCGTCCCATGTGGGGATCGGACTCACAACACTCAGAGTAGCAGTTAGAATAATATTTATAACAGCATAATTTTTGTTATATTGTATTAACATTAGCTTAGTTATTTTAATACCAATACAAAATAACACTATGGAATACCACTCAAACACACACACTCACAATTGGAAAGAGTGAAAGTTCATACTACGGTGCAAAATACTCAATATAAAAAAAATCTTTTTGATAAAATGTTTTTAAGTTTAGAAACTGCTATTATATAAGTCTAGGTCATACTTTGTTATATTTTTTCCAATAGCTTTATAAAAGTTGCCAAAAAGTTGAATGGACATTTTGTGGTAAATTCCTTGATGGCAGTTATTTACAATTAACCATACAGAATAGCTGGATCAATGACAAGCATAAGTCTCATCAAACTCAAATTCAAATATCTTGATTTAAAAAAAAAAAATTTTTTTGAAATCATCCTTGTGTAGAGTAACTAAAGTCATAGATCAACACAAAATAGCAACAATCACTGTTTTGTCAAATATTTAGCAAACTAAATATATACGTATCGAAAATCTCGTATATGCCTGTGCCGATCTACCACCACCCATTATCAGAAGAAAAACTCATGGCCACTCTTTTCAATCAACGGCAATTCATCATCATCATCAATTCAACGGCATGAGACACTGCGTATCTGTCTAATTAGAACCACTGTGACTAGACTTTAACGTGAATATATACTTGAAATGGAACTGTATAACTTACCTCGTGTGGGAGGTGCCTCACAACCACCTTGTATCCTCTAACTCTTATTACTTGATACATATAATTAAATGTAGCATGTTTCAATTCAACCGGTGAGTCTTTGTCCCTGATCAGACTCAGGAACTTAGACAGAATCTTATCCAAATGAGGGTCCAGCAAGTGAGGTTGCTCATAATACTGTTTTAATATTGCATACAGTTTATCATATTCTAATTCTAATGTCGGCGTATTATATATATTTTTTACATTATCTATCATATTCATCACATCTTCTATCTCTGAGAAATGCTCTAAAGCGCAACCAAGTCCAATATTGTCACCATCATCGTCCCGATTCATGTCGGCATCGAAACCAACCATTTTTATTTATTTTGTTTTTTTAAGTTCGTTTTCAAATAATATAATAAATGAAGAAATAGTTAGTAAATTGTTTGAATGAAAACAAATCGCGAAACAATTGTCTGAATAAATGAATCCCGACCACTCACGTACTTGTCGGACTTGTCCAAAACAATTTGTATTTAATTTATTGTTTTATTTTTTATAGAAATGACAGCAGGTACGCAATATACACACGCAGAAAGAGAGAAAGAAACATAATCATTTCACATTTATTTTGTTAATGTTACAAATATTACATTTTATTTACCCGGAGTGTGCCAGTTAATGTTGCCAACAATTTCAAAATAACTCCAAATCCATTCAAACTCAAATGCACAAAATATGCAAAACATCAAGAACAGTAATTACATATAAGGATTATCTTAACATAGTATAAAATAAAGTCGCTTTTTGTGTTGTACGCTCAGATCTTTTAAACTAAGCAACGGATTTAAAAGCGGTTTCCACCAATAAAGAAAGTGATTCGAGAGGAAGGTTTTTATGTATAATACATGCATGTTATAGTAGAGAAAATCCGAGAATTTCAATGATTTGTCTAAAAATCACAACGCTGGCCATAACAACAAACATTGCGCGGCGCTCTAATCGATCTATCACTACAGTATCCAGCTTATTGACAACAATAGTCCTGTCTGTGATAATAGATCGATCCTAATACAACGCGGCCTGACCATTCTCGGGAACTAGGTTGGGCACATACCTGTAGTATGGCACCTCTAGATTTATAAGTTGGTATTTAAGGACAATCTGTTGGTGTACGATCCTGGCTACTTGGTTGTGCCTGTGCAAATAATCACCGTTAGCGAGAAAAACAACCAGAAATAATATGCTAGATTGATTCCCCATGACGGTGGCATGCCCGACAGATGTCAACCATCTTTCAGAATATATTTTCAATAGTTTTTCGTCATGATAAGTTCGTCCATAATCGCACAAAGAAAAATTCCAGTTTCTCCGAAGAGATCACCATATGGTAGCCAAGTCGTAGATGCTTTTAAGTCTAAAGTTTAAGTCTAAAAAAAGTTTTATCGGACCCGTTTAGGGGCCGATAAAACCGGCCAAGGAGCTCTTTGCCCTTTCATACTTCCCTGCAATCATTAGTACTAAGTAATACAGGTTTGCGCCAATTCTCTTTAGATGCACTCCCACATCAGTATGTAGAGAATATCCTCTGAGATTGCATATTTCGCGATTGTATAGGGTCTTGATATTTAATATTCCACCACCCCGAAAGCTTTCACATTATAAACAATCTCATAACCGGTGAATGTGAATGGTGCATTCGGAATGCAGTCAGTGTACGGACTCTCCTGTCAAGGGAATCTTATTCAGTCTGAGCCCATCTACGTATACCAAAGGAATACATCAGAACGGGCATGACCCAACCAATGCAGGCTCGCACCTTATTGCCCTAATAAAATACTTTTAAGTAAGTACTTTTTTGAGGCGCCAAAAAAGCGTTCCTGCAACGATTTTTTTCATTTCAGATTCTAGTATTCCCAACGACTGTGATATACCCAGATACTTGTAAATTTCAGTGGCAGACAGAGATCTGAGTTTTGTTGAATCTAAAAGCTCTGTTTCTTCAGATTCTAGTTTTACGCCGTTGACATACATGACTGCATACTTGTCTACACTAAATTCCATTTTGATAGAATTACTAAAGTTTTCCATCACCTTTTAATAATGCTGTCAATTGTAATTTGGTTTGGTTGGGTAATTAGAAAAAATAAGGGAATATAATATCCATATAATTATAATTATTACTTATTCTAACATTATTTGTTTATTAATTACGAAATTACATTGTTCCGTTTTAGTAATTTTTTATTAAATTAAGCTACTGAGAAAATCATTTTTCGTAAAAAAATTAAATAAGCTATGTACTACTCATCAAAATTTGTCAACTATATAAGTACCTATTTCGGAAACCTCGGGTCGAAAACTTGCAAACGAAAAATTGCCAGCTCAAAAACCAAACGTGAGCCTTAAATATTTTGTTCTACAAAAATAAGGATATGAATTTACTACGTTATTTACATAAGTACTCAAATAAATAAATAAATTGTAATTTTCAAGACATAATAAATTTAAAAAAGAAAGAATGTAACTTTTGCAGCAAAAAAGTAACATTTCAGGGATCGAAACGTAACCTACCACTCAAAGGCCCTGGCAACACTGGTACCATGTCCACTCTGTCTACTAATGTCTAGTTTGTAGTCTGTGGCTCCGGCTTGCTTGATGTCTGCAAAAAAATTATGAGTCTGTGAAAAAAAGATAGTGTGATGGTGTATTTTGGTATTGTCACAATTAAATTTCATACCATGAAAACATTCCTAAGAAATCGTTAAGTGCTTACTATCCACACCGGCTTCAATTTCGTTTTTATGGCATATATTTCATAGGCTACCAAAATGAATAATCGTAAGTTTTATAATCGAACATTTATTGTACTTCGATTTAGGTTGAAGCATGATCATTTTTTTCAAATTTCAAATTTGATACCTTTTATCACCATGAAATTACCTCTTTTCAGAAACCAGAGGTCCTGCTAAACGAAAAGTGAAACCAATAGAACCTCAGTCATTATTAGATTTCGATCTTGGAGAAGGTGAAAGTTCCGACGACTCTGATTTTCGAATTGAGGATCATCCTGAGGAAAGCGATGATTATTCTATTAATACTGACGACGATGAGAAAAGTAAACATCTCTTATTTAAGTTCTATTTGTTACTATGTAACTTCCCATTTAAAGTTAAATAAATAACTGCCTACTAACCAGCATAAAACCTCCCTTAACTTTTGCATTTTATGCTTTTTGTATGCTGTACAACTTACTGAAAAGGCTCAGAAAATATTAACAAACAATAATGTTTATTCTTTATACAGATAAGCAAGCAAAAAGTGAATCTTCGGAGGAATCTGGTTCTGATATGGAGGATGAATATGAACATGCAACAAATAATGTTGAAGGAAATGTACTTGTTAATAATACCCTGGAAAAAGTTACACAAAAGGAGTTTAAGGTATTATTACTTGATAGAAATTGTCTATGTTAAATGGTCAATGCACCAATACTGCCTACTCACATAGCCCCATATTGCACATTCAGAATGAAAGTGATATAGTTTTAGTTCAATTTGTTTTCTGTTTTCTGAACAACCAACACCTACCTAGTGTTGGTTGCTCAGAAAACTTATATCAAAGAACATGTAGGTGAATACCATAATAATGAGTGACAGATGTCCCATTTTTCTCATAATTTGGACTAGTTTATCCTCCCTTGATTTTCAAGTTTATGATTAACAAGAATTACAATAAACCTTATTGGTTATGTTATTGTCTCTGAGGCTATGTAGGTCAATTTATGATAATATCAGAAGTTTCAGGGATTTTGAGCCTGCTCACTTTCATTCTGATTATATGGATATTCTTCATTCTTCATTACTATTTAGTAAAAAGTTTCCCATTATGTAGGTAATTGGTTTTTTAGTTCTCAAGTTAAAGTCAGATGTTTATTCTTATATTTACGAATCAGCTGTAGGCCATAAGCATAGAATGTAGTATGCATACAGAGGGCTATAAAACACATTACACTAAATATCTCATCCATTACGCTACTTGCCTCAGGTTTATTTGATGACTAATGTTGTTAAGATATGAAAAAGAAACCACATATTTTGAATAGATAGTGAGGCTCTGGCATTTCCGCTCAGTAATAATCAAAACTCTCCAAGGGATCTGAATATGGTTGAAACTGATCACAAATCACAACAAATAAGCATTGATAGTATTCATCATCTCCTCACTCATTATTTATCATTCTGATAAGCTACTCATTATTTAATAGGTATAGTAATAGATAACAGATCAAAACATACACAATTATGTTGACAATATCATCATCATCATCATAATCAGCCTATCGCAGTCCACTGCTGGACATAGGCCTCTCCCATTGCACGCCACTTAGATTGACAAATCACTTTTTGTTGACAATATGCAATACTTAAATCTGAAGTTCAATTATAAATATACACAACATTCTATTACAAAGCTTATATGAGTATGTTAACAGACTAAAGTATTCACATAATAAACTTAAGTTCCATTATTTATTATGAAATAAATAGTGTAAGATTGAATTAAAAGCAAAACAAAGATAAAAAAAATGCCAAAGAAATTATACAGATACTATTGTAGGGCATTCTTTTAGTAATAAACTTATGAATCACATTATCACATCAACAGCCTTTAATAGTCCACTGCTGGACATGGGCCTCTCCTTAGAAAGGAGGTTTTAGACTACTATACCACGCTGGCCAGACGGGTTGGTACAAGTTTTCCTTCTCTTTGCAGTGCATATTTTTTTTGCATAGTTTTCTCCCTTAGTCGCCTCTTACGACACCCAAGGGATGAATAGGGATGGTGACATTCAGTATTCTTAATCTGTCACCACATGGTGACCACCACATAAAACTTATGAATAATTTATGAATATAAATATTTATGAATATTTTTTTTGTATCCTTTCAATAAATAATTCTTTTTGTTTGTTTGTTATATACACTCCTGTCATTATTTTTTTTTATTTTTATGTATTACTATTTTATTATTACTTTATATATTATTTACTATGATTTTATATTCATTCTTCTTTCTTTTCTTTTTCTTTTAAAAAAGACAACTCCCGCATTAGGAAAATATCCTGTGTCGCGGGGGACTTTACAAACATACATGAAACGGACACAAATAACACCCAGACTTGGAACAACAATTTGTGGATCACACAAAGTGTCGTCCCATGTGGGGTTTGAACCCACAACACTCGGCGTAGTAGGAAGCGGCGTGACGACCGCTTAAACCACTACGCCATCCGTGCAGTCAAATTTGAGAGTCATTGTGATGCGAGTTATCTGTGTGCGTTTAGTTTCTAAATGTTGGGGCAAATGTCAGGCGCCAGCTGAAAACCAGTGTTGTGCTTTCGCGCAACGTATACTGAGCTGGTAGCCCTTGCTACACATTTTGCCAAATGTATTATAAAATTAATTGTGTTTTAGTAATGTGCCTTGTATCCGTGTATGTTTTATGTTTCTTGTATGTATGTATGTTCTTTCGTGTATGTTAAATGGAATAAATTATATGTATTGTGAGAAATGGACAAATGTCCAGCTCAGAGCAAATAGCAAATAGAGGATGAACAATATCTAATATCTTTATAGCATTGCTATAACTTCATAGTTTATAATAATACATTTGCTCCATAGTACTATTAAACATTCATTTTTATTGTTTCCAGTTTCACGGTGAACTGGCAAATATGCTGATATGTGCTGGCTGTCTCGGGTCTCGCAGTGATGACTTCAATGAGATTGTAGAATGTGATGGGTGTGGAGTTACAGTTCATGAAGGTAATATTTAGAAATAGTAGCGTATGTAACTGCTATGCTGAGGTCTCGGGTTCGATTCCCGGGTTGCACCAAAAGTATTCTGTCAATCTAACTTTCATAGTACAAGCTCTGCTTAATTTGCAACTTGATCGCATTGTGTGTCAAATGTCTGTAAAAAAAAGACATATAATAATGGGTCCCATAAACCTTCAGTTTTATCTGTGCTATGAAACTGCAGTGTAGTTTTTATCACACATCGATTATCGAAGCAGTTTAAATGGTACCCATAAGTATAATAGTTAACATGTTTGCATAGCAAGAATACCTTAAAATCTATTTACCTAATAATTTCGTATTACTATTTTTGCATATCTATCCTATTTTTGTGATGTCCTATTAATAAAATATCTTTCATATTTGCAACTATAATTTATATGGCATTCCATGAGAATTTACAGGATTATGTAAACTAAAATTCCGTGTTATTGTTTTAATAGTGTAAATGAATCTCTATTTACAGGTTGTTATGGTGTCTCGGATACAACCAGCGAATCTAGCACAGTCAGTTCTGCTTCTACAGAGCCATGGTTTTGTGAGGCATGTAAAGCAGGTGTCACTGATCCATTCTGTGAGCTTTGTCCAAACAGAGGTGAGAATAACTAAAAGGTATATTACTATTTCTTATCTGTCAGGGTTGCTTTTTAATACTTAAAATTCAAAAAGGTTTTAATTGTTACTATAACTTATACAAGGTTTTTTTTTCTGTATGTGTAAAATAAGTTTCTAGACCGATTTCTTAGCGTTCCATGAATTCTTCTTGCGGGACCGGGTCCATTGCGTAATCGATGGGGGCAACACATGCGACTTCAACAACGCCTGAGTATTTAGACATAGGAGTAGGTTTAGGGAGTACTTCTTACGACGTGTCAGCGCTCACCTCCAATGTCTGCTGTAATACTCCCTCTACCTAACCATATTTGATGTGGGCCTAGCAATGCCGCTTTGGATATTCGTTCAAGAAAAGAGCTTATTGGAGCTCTGGGCAATTAAAGGTCTTTAAGCAGGTTTTAGAGAGATTTAGCTGATATACACTTTGCACCTTCAATGTCTGCTGTAATACTCCCTCTACCTAACCATATTTGATGTGGGCCTAGCAATGCCGCTTTGGATATTCGTTCAAGAAAAGAGCTTATTGGAGCTCTGGGCAATCAAAGGTCTTTAAGCAGGTTTTAGAGAGATTTAGCTGATATACACTTTGCACCTTCAATGTCTGCTGTAATACTCCCTCTACCTAACCATATTTGATGTGGGCCTAGCAATGCCGCTTTGGATATTCGTTCAAGAAAAGAGCTTATTGGAGCTCTGGGCAATCAAAGGTCTTTAAGCAGGTTTTAGAGAGATTTAGCTGATATACACTTTGCACCTTCAATGTCTGCTGTAATACTCCCTCTACCTAACCATATTTGATGTGGGCCTAGCAATGCCGCTTTGGATATTCGTTCAAGAAAAGAGCTTATTGGAGCTCTGGGCAATCAAAGGTCTTTAAGCAGGTTTTAGAGAGATTTAGCTGATATACACTTTGCACCTTCAATGTCTGCTGTAATACTCCCTCTACCTAACCATATTTGATGTGGGCCTAGCAATGCCGCTTTGGATATTCGTTCAAGAAAAGAGCTTATTGGAGCTCTGGGCAATCAAAGGTCTTTAAGCAGGTTTTAGAGAGATTTAGCTGATATACACTTTGCACCCGTACTTCTAAAAATGTGTAATAAGATGTTTACAAGGCTGAAATAGTAGTAGCAAGTAGGAACAAAGTGCTCCAAAAAATATTATTTGTCACTTTTGTGATAAAAGAATGGTATTCTGTTATTAGTCCTTTCATCATTATCATCGTCAGCCTATCGCAGTCCACTGTTGGACATAGGCCTCTCCTATTGCACGCCACTTCGTTGGATTTTCGGCTTCTTTTTTGTTTGCTGTAAACCTTTTGAGCATTGAGATTATCAATAGATCATGACGGATGTGTTGGTCTAGTCTAGATTCGCACCCAGGACAAATATTGTGTGATAAGTGCGGTCATTTATTCTGTTGTTCTGTGTCTGGGTGTAATTTATCTATAATATGTATGTATTTAAAAATATATAAGCTGATAATGAATCCTTTACCATTTTACTAGTGTTATTAATACATGTAACAGGTTCTTGCAGTATGTCTCTCGCCTGCCTTTATGGAATGTAAAAATGTATTGTTTCAAATTCAATATCAATATTCAAATTCAATGCACGGATGGCGTAGTGGTTTAAGCGGTCGCCACGCCGCTTCCTACTACGCCGAGTGTTGTGGGTTCAAACCCCACATGGGACGACACTTTGTGTGATCCACAAATTGTTGTTCTGAGTCTGGGTGTTCTTTGTGTCCGTTTCATGTATGTTTGTAAAGTGCCCCGCGACACAGGATATATTCTTAATGCGGGAGTTGTCTTTAAAAAAATATATATAAATACTTAATATTTTCTCATATCTCAAGAATTTAACTCATTATAATGTGATTTTTTGTTGTAGGTGGCATCTTTAAGGAAACCGAAGTTGGTGCATGGGTACATTTAGTATGTGCGCTTTACGTTCCTGGAGTAGCATTTTCAGAGGTAATATTTACTATATACAAAAGATTAAAGCGTGAAGGAACCCTATGAGTCACTATGGGGTGCTGTGCTGAACTTCACTTTTATCCAATATTTACTGCTTTAATTTTGGTAAATTAACCTAGTCTGTAACGATTTTTTAAACATATTTTACAATACTATATGTATAAAAATGTGAAGTTAGTTTGCATACACTTCAAAATAGTTTGCATACACTTTAAAAACTCAAATAGTTCTTCACCAACTGAGCTTAAATTTTGAAACACTATATAATTCACTTCAAAGATTATTTATATCTATTTTTCGCTTTAGTTTAGCTCCTCATTTCCTATTAATACAACCGAGATGTGCCACAGCAATGCAGGGCAGGGTACGCCTAGAGTTAAATAAATATTTAACTGATATGGCTATGTATCCACATCATTACACATAAAGGACACATAGCCTGCTTCATTATATATTCTGTAAACCTTTTCAGCATTGAGGTTATCAATAGACTACAACACGATACGACGGGCCTGTCGGTCTAGTGGTTAGTGACTACTAAGCCGGAGGTCGTGGGTTCGATTCCCACCCAGGATAAATATTGCGTGATGAGCTCGGTCATTTGTTCTGTGACTGGGTGTAATTTATTTATAGTATGTATGTATTTAAAAATAAATAACAGCAGTCTGGTTAGTAAAGCATAGGCTCTGCCTAGATTGGGATCAGACGGCCGGGTGTGAGGGGTGTGAGGTATTATTATTGGTTTGGTTTGGATACATGTTTGTTGTCGTCAGGTGGAGAAGCTGTCGGGCGTGACGCTGTTCGAGATGGCGTACTCGCGCTGGGGCGCGCGCTCGTGTGCGCTGTGCGAGGACGCCACGCTGGCCCGCACCGGGGTGTGCGTGGGGTGCGACGCTGGACTTTGTAAAACGTTCTTTCATGTTACATGGTATGTGTCAAATGTTAAGGTTATAAGGTTTTTACCCGGCCGCGGATGAGTGTTATGTTTTGCCAGTGTACGTATGTATGTAAATTTCTTTGCTCTTTCTCTGTTGCGTAAACGACTAGATGAAAAATTGGTAAACTCTTTGGTTAATTGTTAAACTTCTTATTAAAAGGATTAATTATGAGAGTGACACTGGGCATATGAAAATCAATAAAATTAAAACCGTCAAGTAAGTTTTAAGTATACATTTGCACGCAGTCGTTTTTCTTTCAAAAATTTGCTTTTTAACTTATACTTGTTTATTTTTATACTACAGTGGTCAACGTGCTGGTTTGTTAGCCGAAGCGCATTCAGAAGAGGCCGAGCAAGCCGATCCCTTCTACGCTCACTGTAAACTACATTCAGATAAGACTTTAATTAAGAAACGTAAACGAAACTGGCTAGCTTTGCAACTAAGGACAGAAAAGCGGTACGTACTAACTCCTTGTTTTTGAATTAAGATTAAAAAACATGCTTTAATGGCGAACCGCACAAAAAAAATACAAAAGAATAGTTTTACTATGCAACTGCTGGTTCATTGTCAGGCCATCATTGGCCCAGCCATATGTACTATCGAAACAATTAATTCGAGCCCAAACCCATAGCTACTGTAAGAGTTTCATTATGCACGTCCTGGCTTTAAGATCAGATCATGTCCAACATGGCAAATTGTAGTATTGCCATTCGAACAATAAATATATACAAAAGACAACAATTATTAGAAGTGAGTTATAATTTACTTCTAAAATACATAGTTAAAATCTAATTAAAGTTTGTAAAAGTAAAATAAAATATGATCGAAAGTAGTAATAATATCATAAATAAATTTCAGGAAATTAGAACTGATAAATAATCTCAGCACAGAGGAGAAATTAAGGATACAACGTAAACTTGTTAAGTACAGAAAAAAGTATTTGCAACAAAAAGAAAACAGAAATCCTCCTTGGGGTAAGAAAAAAATATTATAAAATCTTTTTTTTTCTAAATTACGTCACTAAGTTTCTCTTATTTGTTTGTAGTACCTACGCAAAAAATGGCGCGTATGTTGTACAGCAGTGCCTCGGCAATGAGAAAGTTTCAAAAGAAAGCTGAATGTATGGGTTTGGACACTCATGCATTGGAATTTCAAGATGCTCAGGTAAGATGTGTAACTGTACAAGTAATTTATAACACTTATAGTAAAAGCATTACGGGCTATTATTCTGTACACTAAAAGATATACTACTGTATAGGAATTCAGGACTTCTCGAAATAAAAGGCAGGCGTATGGACTGTATGCTGTGAGATTTTATAATGAACTAGCTGACCCGCGCAACTTCGTCTGCGTCTCTCAATAGTAATACATTTTCTCCGTTTTTGAAACATTCTTCATTGGTTCTCCGCTCCTATTGGTCTTAGCGTGTTGATATATAGCCTTCCTCGATAAATGGGCTATCTAACAAAGAATTTTTCAAATCGGACCAGTAGTTCCTGAGATTAGCGCGTTCAAACAATCAAACAAACTCTTCAGCTTTATAATATTAGTATAGATTTACAAAAAATGATAAAAAAACATATGATACAGAATATACAGACTACTTAATTATGACAACGAGTTTACAGTATGAGCGTTAAGACATTGCTAACGCATCTGACGTAGGCGCTCCAACAACTAAATATAATTCTTATTATTATAATAATATTGTACCACATTCACACAACGCCATCTAGTCCCAAACTAAGCAGAGCTTGTACTATGGGTGTACTAGACAACTGATATAAATACATTATTCTTTTTTTTTTTGTAAATACATACTTATTATATATAGAAACACCCAGACTAAACCAAACATTGAATGTTCATGCACACAAATGTTGGACTTCAGCGGTAATCGAACCCGCGACCTTTGGAATAGCAGTCCGTTACACAAACCACTACACCATCCGTTTGTGGTATTGACTTGTATTATTTTATATAATCATAGATGGCAGCACTCAAGGACGTGTCCCGTCGTTGGCACGTTCCGCCTGCCTTCTCAGTGGAGTTTGTGGGCTACTACCTGGAGAGGAACACTCGGGTCACGTCGCTACGGAAGTCGCTCGTGAGACTCACTAAAGAGAACGAAAAACTCTTGGCTGATGATGATAAGTTACGATTGGATTATGATGAGGTGCGCTTAGTTTTTTTATTTTATCTTTTACCGACTTCAAAAAAGACGAAATATTCCATATATTTTAGGAAAAGCATGCAGTGATACATTGAAAAATTATCGCTACCGTTGGTAATTAGGACAAACAAACCTTGGAAATTCGACTACATAGACACTTGTCTATGCCCTGAATAACATAAATTTCGAATTCGTAGACATTTTTCTAGTGTTGTAACTATCTTCACAACTCAAAATACATATGGCTTCGTACCTTATCAATTATACGAGCCATTTACAACACATAACAATGTACAGGCTTCAAAAGAGAACACAGATGGTTTGGCAGCCATGACATCAGCGCGGCAGTCTCTACTAAAGATATACGACGCGATCATCGCGCTATGTCCTAAGCGAGCGACTCCAGCTATTCTAGAAGATAGGCCCTTGGTGGTACACGAGTTACCACGATCTACACCCAAAGTAACACCTCAACAGTTACAAAAACGGTATGTATCGTATATAAACAGTATCTCATTCGTTTCTTTTTTAAAAACGAATGAGCGTAACACTATAACCCGGCAATCTCGTGCGCGACCGTCCCGCGGGGTGACAGACAGTGGCGGGGGCGAGGTAGCGCGTCATTCTAGTTCACGGCTACACACGATTCCCTTCCCCGCTACACCACCCGCTACCCGCTGACATCTTGAGTACCTCGTCCCCGCCACCGTCTGTCACCCCGCAGGACGGTCGCGCACGACGTTGATGGACTATAGTCCCATATTATGATGTGTAACATCGCATATTTACCTCCACATCCATATACCACATCATCACATTTACCTCGGTAGTACCAAACTCGGAAAATGGGTTGGTACTATTTGAGGACCAACTCTAGAACCTCGCGCTTATTGATAAATACAAATAGCGCACATTTCTCTAGTTTCGTGTTACATACTTCCGTCCCTTTTCGTTTAATCATTCTCACAGATTGCAGGAAAACGGAAGAAGTATGTTACACATCAAAAACATAATACAAAATAATAATTTGAGCTTTGAGCATCGCCTTACACTGCATAGTCTTGCCCCAAATATTGATATAAGGCAAACTTAATCAAATTAAGTCAAATCTCCTTAGATTTGCTACCCACATAAGCGAACTGTAAAGTGAACGGTAAAGCAGTATTTGTCGAACAATATAGGCGACCCGAAGCAAGTGCTGCACTTGTTCGGTTGTAATGGGCTTGTTCCGATCGGGTAGTTTATCTGCATATAATGTCTGTGCCAGTTAATGCCCGCCTGCTTATGTGTATAGCAACCCTTGGACCATTAGTAGAGTTGTAGGTAATAAAATAACCCCCATCTGCTTCTGCCCTATACACTGCTAATACAAATTACAATCTCTTTACGTATTTTGTATTTGTTGATAATTCAATACAATAAATAAGTACTTAATACAAATACTATACTGTATGGAGGTTCGGCCAGCAGGTCAATGTCTGTACCAACTGCGGCTGCACTTAAGATGGGCGTTGGTTTTCCTCTTAGCGACAACCCGGACGCTCGCCAAGGAAAAGTTTTATCTACTTCTTTGGAAGGTAGGTACCAAATTTATATAAGTTATTTTATTAATTTTACTAGTTTTATATGCTCTTATAGCAATCAGTAGGTAAATGCACTTTGAAGTATATAGTATATTTGCAGAGTAAAATTACTGCCCAATATATAACGTGGCTAGTTCTGTTTTAGGTTTGTTGTTTTTGTTGATGAATGATATTTTTGGAACCATGCAGTTGTTGAGAAGCCAGTGCTTCTGTAAAGTAATTTTAATTTTAGATCTTACAACCGATACGAATTTATGACTTAAACAGTTGTATAGCTGTGTTAAAAATAAACATAGAAGATTTAATATACGACCATTTATGTTTCGTTACTATAAAATATCTCATTTATATAAATATATCTATAATAAAATATAACTTCACATTTTCGGATGAAAATTGTAGGAAATATTTTTTACCAAGAAAAAAGGTTTCTATACTAAAAAAAAAAAATATTTAGAGTGAATTCAAAAGTATAAAAAGAAAATTTTGATGAATACTATTAAAAAAACATATAGTTTATCATAGTTAAATGAGGTGTATTAAGTAGAAGCTAGTAGCGCTAGGAGTAGGGGTAGGGCCGTTAGGTGTGTGGAGGGAGGTGTGAGGTGTGTGGAGTGAGGTACAGCGAGTCGTGTGCGGCAGCGACGGTGGGCGCGCTGGCGGGGCGCGAGTGCGCGGCGTGCGGCCGCAGCAGCGAGCGGCACCTCATGGCGGCGTGCGACACGTGCCGCCACCACTACCACCTGCACTGCCTCAAGCCGCCGCTGCAGCGCCCGCCCAAGAAGAGCAAGCTCTACGGCTGGTGAGCGCCCTTCCTTGTGTGTCTATAGTAGTTAGTTACACACACACACACACCACACACACACGCACACACACACACACACACACACACACACTAACTCCCGTGACTGTAGACCGTAGTGACTTCGATTCCCGGACCAGGCAAAACTTTATAGGGTTTTTCTGAGAGAAAAATAGCCTAAGTTTCTTCTTACATAGACAGCTACTTGGTAGTAAAATATTATCAAAATCGGTTCAGCCGTTTTGAAGATTACCTGGAACAAACAGACAGACAGACACAAAAAATTTTAACTGGTTTTTAGGTAACCTAGATACGTGCCTTTAACGAGGCCATTCTATATGTATTTGTATATACGTCTTTCGGGGTAGGCCACACCGACTTGCCCATTCACAGGAGACTTGAAGTAAATTCACAAAATAGAATTAATTATAAAATGTTACACTTTCCATTTAAATATGGTACAAATATCTAGTTTTATTTTTTTCATATAGAATAATCGTGATGGTTTAGAATTTGACACTCGTTCATTGTCTTATATTATTTTGACACTTCACTTTCGCAGGCAATGCTCCGAGTGCGATAAAACATCAGATTCTGAACCTGAAGTGTTAGAAAAAAAAGTGCCGCGACGTTCTCGCATAAGATACAGCAAAGACGGTGCTATTATCACCGAACCACACAGTCCGAGTTCACCTCCAAAGGCGAACTCAGAGAAATCGCACAAGATCGAAACGTCCACAAAATTAGCTACTTCTGAGAGTATATCACCCATTAAAGTGACTATTAAACCATTTGAGTTCAGTAGCGACGGTAATGAAAGCTCCGAGGTGAAATCTAAGAAAGAAAAGAAAATAAAGAAGTCGAAACAGAAGGATTTATTGTCTGGATCTGCTGGAGAAGACACTCCCAGTAAAAAAATACATAAGCGTAGCTTCACTTCCCCCACGCTGACAAATACACCATTGATGTCGATAACACCGATAGTTGCCGACAGTCCCAATGACTCTCATAACGAAAACTCCAACGCGTCTACTAACTTAGCCTCATCGAAGCGGGAAGACAGTTTTGTACATCAGAATCTCTCATTTTCATCTTTATTGGGTGAAAGCAAAGAAAGAGACAGTAAAGCTATCGAGAGTTCTATAGAGAGCACGTTAGCGAACCTTTCCTCCGATATTGCAACTTACAAAGCTAACAGGAAGAGGAGGAAAGAGAAACATAGATCTAGATATTCCCCAGATCTTTTGAGATCTCCTTCTAAGTCACATAAACACAAGAGAAAGAAGAAGACGCAAGACCTAGAAAATCCTGAACCTCCACATCCTAGAATAACAATCAAGGTACATAGCTTCAAAAGTATTTTAAACAACGACGGGCCTGTTGATCTAGTGGTTAGTGACCCTGACTGAGCCGAGCCGGAGCCGGAGATCGTGGGTTCGATTCCCACCCAAGACAAATAATTGTGTGATGAGCACGTTGATTTGTTCTGTATCTGGGTGTAATTTATGTATATTATGTATGTATTTAGAAATATATAAGTATGTTTATCAGCAGTCTGGTTACCATAGCACAGGCTCTGCTTAATTTGGAATCAGACGGCCGTGTGTGAGATGTGTGAAATTATTAATATCTTGGTTCGGATGTTGATTGTTGAAGTATATACTTGTGTGTATAGGTATATATAAGTGAATACTTTTATTTCTATTTTAGATCAAACCAATTCCTAAGCCGGATGGTTCATTGGACACCCAGATGTTCTATGTACCCACAGACAGCAATGACGGTCCACCTCCAGCTGTTATGAGGAAACTCTCCAAGGTAAACATAAAAAAATACTTATTTAAGGGAAAACATTTCGGGGATTCATTAATAGACAATTTATATTTAACTGCACGTATGGCATAGTGGTTTAAGTGGTGGTGGTAATTTTCCCACTTCGCTGAGTGTTGTGGGTTCGATCCCCACATAGGACAACAATTTTTTCCTGTGTCTAGGTGTTCTTTATATCGGTTTCATGAATGTCCGTAAAGTCCTATAATATATCCTGTGTCGCGTCACAGGATATATTCCTAGTGCGAGAGTTGTCTTTTTTTATAAGAAACGAATATACTCGTAGTATGACAGAAAAGAAATTTACACATTGGTCAGTGACAAGTAGCCTATTTTAATTAAAATCCTATAAACGTAAATATTGTCTTATCAACAGCTCCCACAAAAGTAGTAATTATATTTTTTTTAATCATAATTAACCTTTAAATATAAAATTAGACGATTATATCATGTTTATTCATAATAAATTGTAACAAACTGTATTTTTATCCCTTAAACTTTTCACCCTAGGCTGTTTTTTTGTTACAAATTGAAATTTGACTAGTCTTGAGTCCAACATATTTGACTTGGCTCTATAGTATAATGTTGTGATTATATTTCATGATTATAAATCAAGTTACACCTGTGATTTTTAAGAACAGAACAACAATAATTGTTAACATAGACATGATTTATAGTAACTGTTCATAACTTGTTATTACATTAGCAAGTAGAGCAAGTAGCAGCCAAACTAGAGGCAGCGAAGTTAGAGGCAGCGAAGCAAGAAGAGGCGAGGCAGGCGCCACTTCTAACACAAACGCCGGAAAACCTCGACTCAATACCAGTAAGTCTTGTAATGATTTTTATCTCGACACATTTTATATATTCAAATTTATTTGATTTTAGTTGCTACAAATATTTAATACGTATGTTTTTTTACGTTTTTCTGCTTTTCTATTAAAGGACAATCCATATATTACGTCACCTCCGTGCTTGTCACAGCTGGTCACATTTGTGAGTCTCTCCCCTCCCTAACGTGACGTCAGGAATTCATCTAGAAATTAATAAATTAAAACAGCAGCTTCAAAATTAGGTTTATTTCCATTTAAATTCTTTTTTAATGAAATCAATATCAAACCTAAAAACATTATTAAAAAAACTTAACAAAACAAAAATGATTTATTATTTTACTGTTAATAATTAAAATGTCGCATTTCAATATTTAGATATTAGGTTTTCTCCTACCCCCTTATCACAAAGTCACACTTCGTCGTATCCCCTCCACTCTTAACGTGTGATGTAAATTATGGATGACCCCATAACTAGATTTTTTGGATCTCTTCTTCGTCTTGGTTAAGTTGGTATTGGACATATTGTGTTGTTGATGATATTGAATGTGTAAATTTTTCACGCAAGCTTCCTCCAGAAAAGGAAAAACCAGATGAACCGGTTATGACTAAACCCAAGGTAATAAATAATAACTGTGTTTTATAGATAAGCTAAGATATAGCTAAGCCGATGGTCGTGGGTGGGTCGCCAAAACAATTAATTGGGTGATGAGCATTTTTGAAGTCCATTTGTTCTGAGTCCGAGTGTAAATAATATGTATAGGCTGTAAGGGACATCGTAACGAATACTGAAATAGTGTATTCAGACCATCATTCTGAGTCTAAAATCATTCTTCCGGAAAATTAAACTTTTTATGCAATCAGCTGTCAAAGGTTTAGGTCATACCCCGTAGGCATCGCACTAAAGTAATAACTACATGTGTAATTCGTGCAAGCAGTCTACGCACACTAACACAAAATGGCGGCCGGAGCGGAGGCCCCGCGTGCTTCGGCTGTTTGATTAATTACATTGCAGTTTTTTGGTATTTATTAAATTGTTTTCGGTAAAATGTTCTGGCTACTCATTGTGATATCATTTTTTATTTAGAGTAAAAAAAAAATGAATTTTTTGGCAGAAAATGCCAATGATTTTTGACTCAGAATCATGGTCTGAATACACTATTTCAGTATTCGGTACGATGTCCCTTACACGTTGTATATGGAAATATTTAGCAGTCTGGTTACTACAGTACACGCTCTGCCTAGTTTGGGATCAGACTGCCGTGTGTGAGATGTGTGACATTATTATTATAAGTACATCGCAATGAGAACATATTAGACATGAACGAGTAGAAAAAATATTTTTTACTGCTTTCTCAATTGGATTTTATAATCAATTACCTTTCAAAAAATACTTTTCTTAATTAGCAAAGGGACTGCTTCTTAGTTCGAATTTGGATTTCATGCTGACATAGTTTGACAGTTGTGAGAGAAGAATATGTTATTATTGTACTCAATGGTGGACTTATTTATACAGGCTGTTCGCCGGAACGTTCAACATACGAAAATGGGGAGTAGGTGGGGTTGTTTGCTACCTACTCATCACCAAAGATTTGACCGAGGCTCCAAGTTTTTTTTTGCAATTTCTTTACTTTCATACTTTTAAACCCTCATAACTTTTTTATGGACAAATCAGGATTATTTATTAACTAAGAATGACTAAAAAAACCAAGAATCAGTCAGAAAGGAAGTCTCTTCGTGAAGTAGCTTGGTTTGTCCTTCTGGGCTTAACAAACTTGGGATGACTATGTTAATGATAAAAATTAAGAAGGGACTGGGATGACTATAGGGGTAGTCATCCCAGTCCCTCCTTAATTTCTATCATTAAACGATAGATTAACCCGTCCAGACCAGTCTTAAACATTTCTATGCGCGCTAAAACTCAAGTGTTTCAACTTCTTGAAACGTTTTACTTTCAAATAATAGGAATTGGAATGTGCTAAAGCTATATCAGTGTACTCTGACAATTTCTACCAAAGGGTTGATGAATATTTGTGCCAATATCTTGTAGCTAGATATATTTTTTCACTTATACAACAGTTTTTTGATAAATATAGATATGGATATCAAACGGTACTTCTTAGATTTGATCAACTGTAGTGAAAAATTCAGGGGGAACATAATTATTAATAAACAATTATGCATGTATACCTACGGGAATTAGCGCGATCACATAATAACTATACTTATGAATATACGTCACGTCAGGCAAACCAAAGATATAAAACTAGAATTGCCTGACGTTTCGACCAGGTCAAAAGCAGTTATCGCGTTAATTCCCATACATAATTATATATCCGATAGTGTGAAAGTACATAATTACTAACATTTTTCTGAACAAAATGTTACATATTATGTTTAGAGGAATCGTAGCGAGCGGTCACGTCGCGGCGGTACCGAGAGCGGCGGGGGTAACGGGGCCGCGGCCGCGCCCGCGCCTCTCACGCACTGTGACGTTTGCAACCAGACCGGCGACTACACTAACTTAGTACGGTGAGCGATCATATTTATTTGTAGTGGAAGCAGAATTGTGTTGACAACTCGATAACTCAGATTCAGTTTATTGCATGCATCCTTTAAATGAAAATGAAAAATGAAAAAATATTTATTTATAAACACAAAGAAAATAAAATAAAATACAAAAGTACAAGGCATAAAATAAGTGTAGCAGATCTTATTAGATACATATTTAACGCGGTCCCCACACGAGGCAACCCCTGTATGGTGGGGAGTTATCTAAAATAAGACAATTTAACAAAGAGAAATGCTTAAAATTATGCTTCCAATATTGTGTCATGGCGTAAGTGCTGCGCGATCTGTGTCATAAGTGCAGTGTAGAAAAATGAGTCGAGCAACACTGAATAGTCCCCACTATGAGTGTTGCAGGGCTCACCTCTTCTTTTGAGGAATGATCTCATTCGGTACATTTAGTGCAAATATGTGGCGTATTGTTGTATTGCTACTTACGTGATATATAAATATATATTCTACCACATAGGTAGAATATATATTTATATATCACAAATTTCGTCAATTTAAAAAAAAAGTCTTAAAAGTCTAATATCTTGAAAATGGTTAGGGTTGGGATACGAGTATGGTATTTCATAGTGAAATCTATCAGAATTAATGGCAACTACAACCCTTTAAAGTATCTAGATCGAATTACCCAGTAACCCTGTATATATGCGTAACAGTTTTCAGTTTAATCCATCGAGCATTTGATTCTTTGAATAATCGGAAACCAAACAAATCGCATTTACGACTTTCTATAAAATAATTTTTGTGAATTTTAATAATAGAATTATAATTCTTATGTAGGTATATGAAATTCGGACTTTTGAAAATCGGAACATCGAAATTCGTAATAAAATATTTCGGAGTAGTTGAGTGTTCCTTTATACAGTAATAGAATGTGTATAGTAGAATAAAAATAATAATTCATGAGTTGTATATTGTTGATTTCTGGACTAAAAACTATCCTAAGTTCTTTCCTGGGACTCAAACTATACCGAATTGCATCTAAACCGGTTCAGCGGTTTAAGCTTGAAGAGGTAACTGACAGACAAACAGACACTTTTGCATTTATAATATTATAAGGGATATACAATTTTACTCACGTATGTACTTCGTGGATGTTCGACTAGTTTCGAAGCCGACGGGGACGAATCCAGTTTTAAGGCGGCCAGCGTTATGCTGCAACGGTCACAGACGTAGGGGTTGTGTAGTTCCCGAGACGGCGTGCGGTTTTAGTCGGTTCGTGTCCGACATGCCACCGACAGATGGTATCCGAGGGGATTTCCGCACGGAAAAAAAAAAAAAAAAAAAGGGGTTGTGTAGTTAAGTGACAGAGCAATGTCCTCGGTACATATGGGTTAGATTCCACTGGAGTGATCACAGTGCCTCACAGAAATCCTGGTCCTCCACACGATTCTTGGGAGGGGGGGGGGGGGGAGAGGGAGCACTAAGAGGACGGCAATGGTTTTCTGACTTGAGTCATAGGTGTCCATTAGCGGCGGTAGTCACTTACCATCAGGTGATGCGTCTGCGCTTTTGACCCTCTATACCGTATAAAAAATAAAAGTAAGAGGGTGCCCAGAGCCCATACCCAGGGGGGTATGGTCTCCGGGCCTTCTCCTTTTGGACTCAAAAATCGTTAAAGACCTTGTGACTTATGAGTTGCAGCTGTCCTGCACGTTGGCACACTAAAAAAGTGAAAATTAAATAAATGATAAATAGTAAATCGGTTTTGCGGTTGTTCGGTTCAAGCCAACTCAACATATCTTTCTTAAAAAAAAAAAATCGTCTCTCGTGTAGACTAAAGTCATAGATCAGCACACCTAAAATAGCAACAATATCTGTTTTTTTTTTTTCAAAAAATTATCAAAATAAATATATACGTATCGATAATCTCCTACATGCCTGTGCCGATCTACAACCGCCCATTTCCAAGGGGTTGAGGCTCATGAGAATAATGGGCAAACAAACTCACGACCACTCTTTTGAATCAACAATCACAAACAATGGTATAATTAAATATACACAACATTGTTTTGGATGTGTGCCAGTATGTAACGCCAATAAAGAGAAAACAAGATATAGAAAAAAGATGGAATAAAAAAGAAAGTGAAGTAAAACATAAAAAAATGGCAAATTAAATAAAACACTAGCCCTAATCACATTTCCACTACGAAATAGCCTGTGCTAAATTACTGGTTGACTCGCTCTATGCATTTTCCTTATCCTAATTGACCTAATTCCTGTTTCATTTAAAAACGATTTACGCACAAACAGGCCTACCCTTAGCTGTCAAAAAGAGTTTTTGTATAGAAAAAATATAGTTACCAACTTTTAACATGTCTTTTCACTTATCTGTAGGTGTGACGAATGTTTGAAGAGATACCACTTCACCTGTTTAGAGCCGCCGTTGAATAAGAATCCAAAGAAACGTGGATATTCCTGGCACTGCGCCGACTGCGACCCTACGGTAAGTTTCCATTTCACGTAAATGTATACCTACTCTGTTTACCTTAAGCTGCAAATTATTCACTATATATTTGCAGGAGGGTACTGGATATTAAGCGGCGATAGCGTTACGATTAGGTAAGGTAATTAAATTGGCAAATGTTACGTTGTGAGTTCGAAACCCGCAATATACAGTCCTGACCCAAAGATTAGTACAAAAATGTCGTTCTATTTTATTTCTCTAAGTGTGCCTTATAAATATTTGAGGCTGATTCAAAATAATCACTATCGGTCTTATTTCAATCATTCAAACAATGTGCCTTTATCGAGTGAAACACGCAATTTTTCAAATGGAAAAACTTTCCTACCAAAGAGGGGGGCGTTGGTAGCTGTGTCAATTTGACTGCACGTATGGCGTAGTGGTTTAAGCAGTCCCCATACCGCTTCCTACAACGCTGAGCGTTGTGGGTTCGATCCCCACATGGGACAACACTTTGTGTGATCCACGAATTGTTGTTCTGAGTCTGTTCTTTGTGTCCGTTTCATGTACGTTTGTCAAGTCCTGCGCGACACAGGAATATGGTTCTAAAACGGGCGTGGTCTTTGTTCTAAGAAAAAAAAAGTTTCACACTTTTAAAGCTGTCATCGTTACCATTTTGTTTAATTACATTTATTGTTTTTAGTTCCAAAAACGTTTTGTTATTAGCTTATATATAAAATTCTCGTGTCACAGTGTGCGTGGTTGAACTCGACCGGTTTTTATGAAATTTTGTGTGCATATCGGGTAGGTCTGCGAATCGGCCAACATCTATTTTTCATACCCCTAATGTATTTTTTTAACATTGTTTTTGGAAATAATGTATATGGCAAAACAACGTTTGCCAGGTCAGCTAGTTAATAGTATATGCTGTAGTCTCATCATTTCTCATAGCGATGGAACATTCCATAGTCTCCAAAGTCAAAATCTGTTCAAAATAGGCTACAAAGCATACACAATTCAATTGATATCGCGACTAAATGGCGGCCAATCTTCTGCTCCTAAGAAGCCAGAAGAACATTCCTTTTACCATAACGCTTGTATAGATTAAGCTTTATGAAATTTAACAAAACAGATTGCTGCTATTGTGTGTGTGTTGATTTAAGACTTTAGAGTCTAAGACGATTTCAAATATATATTTTTATGAAATAAAGATATTTTGAGTTTGAATTTCTTCCGATGCTTACGTCTTGTTGAAAGAACTATTCATGGCTGTAAAACACGGTGTTTTTAAGAGTTGTAAACCTCTTCTCAATAAGCGTATTTTGAAATACATTTTTTTTATGATATAGGGGGCAACGAGCAGACGGGTCAGTTGATGGTAAGCAACTACCATCGCCCATGGACACGTGCAACTCAAAAGTCACAAGTGCATTGCTGCCCTTAGAGTCCATCCCGCTCGAGTCAGCGGTAGGGGGGATTTGGACTCCGGTAACCTCACTCACTGAAAGGCAACGAACGAATTGCTTAACACCGGCCCATTCGTGCAGAAGCATAGCTTTCCTACTATTTTCACAAAGTAGTGACGGAAAAAATGCACTTTACACCCAAATGACTAATTAATAAGCTCCTCTAGAGATTCTAGCACTAACTCGGACATACTGCTTCTTAAAATGTTTCTCAGTAGTAAATAATTGGTTAAGTAATGTCAGTGACAGCAGAAGGCGTGCTTGAAAGTCTGCAAGTCCCAAGTCTTTAAAAATACGTGACAACATTATGTGTGCTACATTCATTTCCCGAGATAACATCATTTACTTTCGGCCCGTTTTTTTTGGGTTGTTTTCTTACAATGTTGTAATCGTGTCTTTAATATCAATGTTTGCACAGCCAACACCTTTCTGTCACACACTCAGAATGTTTTACTAAAACATCAATAGTCTAGTACACAAACATTTGACTTCTACAAAGCGGATGGAGAGTTTCATAAACTGCAATTAGCTCCTTTGTGTAATTCTTCCCAGCAATTGAGCATTCGATTTAAAGGTTATATTATTAAAGGAACATTACAAAAACAAGAAAACGCAATGTAATATTCACGAGTAAAGCAAATACCAAATAGAAAACGAAACAATTCAGTTGTATTTGTGACCATTCTCTGTTTACTACTGATGTAAACAAACTTCTAACATAGTCTTTCGTGGTGTGAGAATACTAGGAAAGTATTTACCCACTTATCATCTACTAGCCCCATAAAGTATTGTATGTATGGTTAAATATAGCTTCGCCTAAGGGAGCAAACTACGCAGGACAACAGCACTGCAAAGAGAAGGAAACTTGACGCAAACCCTATATCAACCCGTCTAGCCAGCGTGGTATAGTGGGCCAAGACCTCCTTTCTAAGGAGAGGCCTAAGTCCAGCAGTGGACCGATGATGATGATAGCTTCGCCTTTATCGTAAAGCGCGCAGTACTGTTAAAGTTATCAAGCGTTGTTATTTCATACCTTTTGTCATATTCAAAGTAGTAGAGACCGAGATCCTTCCATAATACAATAGTTGTCCAAAAAGGACATTGTTTCAACCGTAATAATAACTCTTAAATTGGCAATATCGCCCATATTAGAGACACTATAGCCAGTCGTCGAAGTTAGTCTAGGTACGTGGGATATAAACACTGCGATAATATATAGAACTTTGATCTGCTGACGCAATTAATAATATTTGGGACATCTGACACAATGCCATCTAGTTTCAAACTAAGCAGAGCTTGTACTATGAAAACTAGATTGACTGATAGAATACTTACATACTTTTTTTGTGTAAATACATACATATTATACACAGAAAACACCCAAACTCCGAAACAAATACTTGCAGATAATACAAGCATTTGGTCCTACCCGGGAATCGAACCCGAGACCTCACCACAGCAGTCGCATACGCTACCACTGCATCACGAGGCAATGGTTCGAAAGCTGATTAAAAAATCAATTTCTCAAATTCTTTTGTTGTGTTTCATGAGTGAAATTACCTAGGAATTGGAAGGTAGAAAAGTCATGGAAAGCACTTGTGAATCTTGAGTTGAAGGTGTCAGGGTCAGCAGTAGCCACTTACTGTCATGTGCTCTCATGTGATTTTTTGTTACATTTTATTGCATTGACGTTAATGGCTGTTTCTGTGTGATTGAATGATTGTTATTTGTAATTTATATCGATAATTTAATGAACTCTTTTATAGAATGTCATTTGGTCTGTATGACTATTCAGATGTAGTATAACATATACACGTTTTGGTTGTAAGACTGAGCTTTTATAATGTTACTTAAATAAATAAATAAATGCGACCCATCTGCTTGTATCGTACCCGCTTTTTTTTTAAATACCTATCTTGTGTCGCCGGGGATTTTACAAACATACATGAAACGGACACAAAGAACACCCAGACTCAGAACAACAATTTGTGGATCACACAGTGTTGTCGAACCCACTCAGCGCAGTAGAAAGCGGCCAGGTGACCGTTTATACCACAACGCCATCTGTGCCTATATCACACCAATTACCTTTTTAAAATTTTGCCCAGATAATTTCAATCTTTTTATTTAGCAAGCTTATTTACGACTCACGTGTTTTGTCTTTCTTTTGTTACAGGACATTGAAGAAAACAATTAAGTGTTTTACAGTGCTTAAGTCTCAGAATAGTATTAATAAAATAAGTTTATGTCGGTTACATGTGAACATATATATCGAGATTGAACTTTGATTTATATTTTTTGTATTTATGAAATATTTTTGCAGTATGTGTTGTATTAGAAATACATTTGCTTTTTTAAATTGAATTCTACTACATTAGTAGTTAAGGTTAATTTGATGGAAATATATTAGAATTATGACAAATTACAATGCTGTTTGTATTTATCACCAACGTAAATAGAAAAATGTGAATATGAGAATATGTTTTTATAAAATTTTATATAACGTAGTGTAACATTTTGGTAATTTTCTAGATCACGGTATAGTCAGCCAATACATGTCCAATGTGTTTCTTTTCACAGACATACGTATAAAGGTAACGACGTACATGCCTTAGTCAAATCCCTTTGGCAATATTGGAAATTAATGATAGGACCATTTTCCAAAACAGAATTTCTCTTAAAATAAAACCTGGTTTACAATTAAAAAAAAACAGTTTTCGAAACTCAATTATATATCTACAAACTCCTGAATTAGAAACCTTCAAGAAATTAGCTTAAAGGCCGGCAACGCGTTTGTGACTCCTGAGTTGCAGACATTCATGGGCGGCGATGGTCACTTTCAATCAGGTGACCCGTCTGCTCGTCTGCCTACTCTAACATAAAAAAAGAAATAATTTCCTGGTCGTAAGTAGCCAGGAAATCCCAGCCACACCACTATTTTATAGAAATGAATTCTATTACTGTACTCATTTTAATAAAAAAGTAACTACTGCGCGAACTAAATATTAAAAAAACAATTCATTTAGGATTAAACAGTCAATACTTGAGATATCTATCATTAGTGATAGTGGGATGGTTTCTATGGTACATAAAGTCGCCAGGAAGTTATTTATAATTAAGGATTGTAGGTTGGAAGACTTTTGAAAGAAGATCAAACTTTCTGAGTTGGTAACCAGTTTTGGAAACAGAATTATTTTTCTTTATTGGAAACCGGTTCGATCAAAGAGTAATAAATCTGTTTTGGAAACTGGTTTTCTACCATTAGTTTTCAATATGGCCGAAGAGAGTCAAAGATCCAACCTTCTAAGTTGGTGCCCAGTTTTCAAAACAAAATTATTTTTCTTTATTGGAAACCGGTTTCGATCAAAGAGAAATAATTCTGTTTTGGAAACTGGTTTCCAATTATTAGTTTTCAATATGGCCGTAGGTAGATTTACACTAAAGTTTAGATGCTATGAATACCATATATGAACTTTGGCGTCCTAACTCCTGTTCAAGGTACAAACGGGGGTGTGACGAACAATCGCTTGGGGATCTTTTGTTCTAGAAAAGGCCCTTCCTGTAAGCTTCGTGTTAGATTAGAACGGGTTATATAATATATTGTACCGACCCATAGAACAATCACAAAGCGAATTGCTCCGTAAACCTCAGTTGTCAATATCAACCATAAACTTCAACTGAATGGATTTAATTCATTCGCCTCCCGTAGAATTTCATTATGATAGTATTTACGACGTTCTTTTACATTGAAGACTTAAAACAAACTTAAGACATTAAAGTTACTAGTCACTGTTTCAAAACAAAACACAAAATGGTCATACTTATTTGTTTACTATATTATTGCCATCATCAACATCATCACCACCGTCACCACAACCACTTGCAATCAATGCAGTGGAAGGAAAAATATATTGCTTACACGGATGGAGTAGGGAGTGAGGAGGAGGAGGTTAAAAATGCGGATGTTTATATATTTATATAATGTAAGAGTATGTGTAGGCATAACTCCGTCATATATGGACGGATTTGTAAAATTCTTTTCTTTGTTCGAAAGGGGCGTATTCGAATACGCCCCTTTCGAACAAATTTTCTTCTTAATGTCATATAGATCTGATGATGAGTTTCGGAGACAGACAACTCTTCAAAAAATTACAATAAATCAACCGCTACTGCTGCTAGATTTTTAGCGCTCTTTGTTAGTATTGTTTGAAGTCGGTTAAACTTAAAAAAAAAGGATTTATCTTAAAAAATAATTTCATAAAATGTGTGAAAATGGCCACTACATTTTTTGAGAAATGTCGATTCGCACACTAATAAATTCAGTTTGTGCGAATCGACCACTGAAAATATATTATTATCTGAACAAAATTTATGCAATCATATTTACGTACTGCTCAGTTTTAAAAACTTTCATTGTGGCGTTCATACGCGTATTGTATGCAAGTGAGGGACAAGTTATCGCCGACTCGGCGCCAACAGCACGTCCAAAGTTTATTCGTTCGTTTCCAACAAACTTTCCACTGCATTATACTTATGTTTATGTAGAAAACTGAGTTTTCCAGCAGTTTCTGTTGATATTGCACTCAAGTAGGAAATTTAACCATTCCTATGCAAAATAAATATAATGGACTCAAAATATGTGTGTGAATTTCGTAACAGACATAGGTGACTTAATATCCAAGGAAATGTAATATCATCAGTGTCGTACGAGTAGGGATATAATAAATTTCCTAGATTTAAATTGTTTTTATTTTTGATCATCCATCAAATGCACAACGCCATACACACAACGATATGTACTTAAAACAGTTGCCTAGAAAAGAGTCTGATCAAATCTGTTTAATATTTAAATATGAATAAATTAAAGAACCATACAATATTTAATTATCTTTTTCTTAAAATAGATTACCCATAAGTATTTTTTTACATTTACAAAGTTTTAATATTTTAAAACTTCAAGTTTCATCGCATTTACAGCTTCTTAAATAGGTCGTTTGTTTCTGTTTAGTTTGCAAACTTGTTCAAATCCTAGGTTTTATAAATACAGTATGACTAGCTCTGGTACAGCTTTGCGTAGATCCCTTTACCACATTCAAGATACGTGAGCAGTTAAAGGCTTAGTTGTGTCTAGTTATATGTTCTTATGTTTTTTTTAATGATCAAGGCTCTAAGTTTTGTAAGTTAGGAGTTTTTTTTCGTTGACGGAGTGGAAAATCGCGGCGATGCAGCGCTAGGAGTATGTAGTGTTTCCACTAAATCTCACCCCGATGGTCGGCCTCAGACGCTCTAATTAATCTTTGTTTATGACCAATTCTAAGTAGTGATTTTCAGGTGTAATCACAGTGACCAAAACCAATCATTTCATCAAAGGAATATGATTTAAAGTAGCAATAATTCCCATGTCTAGTTCACAGGAAACCGGTGTCAATCAATCTTTCCTTGCTTTTCACTAAATGAGCGAGTTTACCGATCGCTCAACCAGGGAGGGTTGAGCGATTGACTGATTCGCCATCGCGCATGAGTTGCAGGTGTCCATGGGCGACGGTAGCTGATTGTGAAAGTGATCGTGCTCATCACAGTATTATTTGTTCTGGATGGCAATCGAGTCCACGTTATAACACGTCTGTATTTCATTTTAATGAAGTGGTGTACAATTAAAAGACAAATTACGAAATAAAAGATAAAGAAAGGAATTCAATTCAATTCAATTCAATTCAATTCTTTATTTATAAAATATAAGCATCACAGTATACACCAAATCGCTTATATCTATGCTAATTTTAACAAAAATAAACCAAATACTATTACAATTTTAAAACTCAGACCATCAAAAAGAAAGAACATAAAATTTGTAAACAAAAACAACCTTACATCAACTTAGGAACTATAAAATTACTCTTTAAAATTTAGATATGTATAAATATGTTTTAAAATTATGCTTTGGGAGTCGAAAAATATATCTGCATCTGGACTATACTGAAGGAACTCATTGATAAGCCTAATTGCTATAGCAGTGGGGCTATGGTCAGCCTGGGGAGAGCGCCACGTAGGCGGACGGAGTCTATGTTGTCGTCTTCCAACGGCACGCATATATTGGTCGGGAACATAAAAATGTATTGTTTCCCGTACAACAGGGCTATCTACCTTATTCGCCAATGATGATGTGAATGATAAAAATAACTTACAGAGATGCTTCAGGAAGCTAACTTTTTAAGCATTCTACTTACTATCTGGTAAGGAATGCATTACGGGTATTTTATTTAAGTAATTAATGAAATTGAATTGTTCTTCAGATGTACTATTAAAAGAAACTTTCCATGATTGTTTATTTGTAACTAGCTGGTACCCGCGACTCGTTTGTTCGCGTGTAATTTGAAAAGCGCTGCCTTCCATGAGGCCTCGGGTTCGGTTCCCGGAAAAAAAATTATTTGCTTTTTCTGAGAGGAAAACAAGTCTAAGTTACACCTCAAATAGACAGCTACCTAGTAGTTAAAATATAATCACAATCGGTCCAGCCGTTTTGAAGATTACCCGGAACAAACAGGCAGACAGACAAAAAATATTTAAACTGGTTTTTTAGGTTTTAGGTTTTCAGTGTTCGTGCAAATAACCTTGTGAGCGTGAAAAACACCTATTATTTTGAAATTACAAACAGACACTTCAATTTTATTTATTTGTATAGATTCTTTTTTGTATAATTACCCGCCTGCACCAGAAGGAGGGTTATGTTTTTGGATTTTATGTATGTATGTTTTCTTGGTACGCTCTATATGCTAAACAGCTTGATGGATTTTGGCTTGGGAGGTGACGTGAGGTTCGTTTTGATTGTGTGAGTTACACTGGATATATGAAAATTATAAAAAGACGTGTGGCACTCGGGGACTGCCGCGGTAAAGCTATTGCGTAGCATTTTGTATCAACTTATGCAATTATAATTATTTATTTATTTTATTTATGCAATATTTCTTTTTCTTTGATATTAATTCAAGTTACACTTTTTGAGCGTGGTGACCGATAAGAAAACAATTTTTTTCTGTATTAAATAAAAATACTGAAGCATATATTACAATTTGTTTTTAAATAAACAAATAAAAAATATTATTATTAAATCAAATTACATGTCCATGTAAGATTTTTCTGCATTATGTTGACGAAATTTCCTTTGACGTTCAGCATTTGATTTTGGTACTGTTTTTT